TCCCAATACACAGATCTTCAAACAATAAATCCAACTTAATTAGATATGTTGCCTCAGTTCCCAATTCATATAGTAATTTCCCCAGAAATTACCAATTACTTGCTTATTACTTTAGCAACTATAGTCAATAAACTTTCCTCCCCCTGTCTCATTGATAATACGTGGTATATTTCAAACGACAAAATAACTACCACAATCACCTAAATATTAATAATAATTTTCCAGCCGATTATCATTTCACTAGCAATTCAGCCTTAGATCTGCCTTTCTTAGTAACCTGGTCTCATCTTACCTCAATGAACAAATTTATTGCTCACCTATTAAACATTTTAGGCAAATAAGAAGAATAAGAAAGAGAAACCATTTTATCATACAATACACAATGTTGATTTGTCATCTGGAGCACCTTCTTCTTAACAATTGCACTTAAATGTCTGAGTCCTTTAAATTCAGAAATTTTGGCTTTCAAATTTTGCCCTTTTTGGTTTGCCAGCTCAGTCTTCGGTTTTTGATATTCTCTGTTCCTTTCCCTCTGCGAATGTCTCTTCCTTCTTTTAATCAGCTTCTCCATTTCTCTGAAACATTTTTTTCTGTGCATTCCTTTTTAATCAGCTTCTCCATTTCTCTGAAACGTTTTTTTCTGCGCATTCCTTTTTATCAGTTTCAACGCAGTTTGTTTCTTTACATCATGATTTTGTCTAGAAACCTTTTTTATTTTTCCCAGCAACTTAGGAGGAAAGTCTCGAATCTCTGAAATATAGTCCTGTTTTCATGACTTTCTGCCTTACACTGATGTCGTGAGAACTCCTCCTCATTTTCAGTTTCCGTATCTGCACTCTGAAGCTTCTTTACAAAATTCTTACAGGCTTCTTCAGCTGCCTGTCTCACCCCATCGAGCAAATATTTTTTAAATTGCTCCACAGAGAGATACCCATTTTCCGTATCTTCTAGGTCTATCACTGGAATTTCTGCTATGGAGGTTTCCTCATTCTCCCCAAGCATCGCCATTTCACACCTTTTACTCTAGAACCTTTCCAAGCTGCCGAAACACAATGCAAATTGAGAGAGCTACTCCTTAGGGGATCAGTTAATAAAGGTCTTCAACAGTTCCAAGAGAATATATGTGTACTCATGTTGCAGTCTTCATTGTATGTTAAACTTATTGAAATAAAAGTTTAAAATTGGCGTTCACAGCTTCGGCAACTTGGCGGACCATGCTGTGCCCTTCTCCGCTCTTGTGTCAAAACAGATCCATCGTGGCCCCTTCACTGCCGTTTGGGGGTTGCCTGGTCAAGCTTCCTGCATCCCGACCTCCCTCCAGGAGGTCAGGCGAAGCCCCCTGCTGTCACTAGGACCCGGGGGCTCTAAAAGAGACAAAAAGTCAGGGCTTGTCGGGAGCGACCTGGCCAGGCACCCGAGATGCTGCGCTGCTCAAGTTTAATATTTTTTAAAACTGACATTTAGGAGCTACATTTTATTTCTCAGCTTAACTGGAAGGAAGGTAAAATTCACTTTATTTGTCATTCAATATGAGACAGAGAGGATAAAAAGTATTTTGGGTAACTAATCTGTTCTAAAGTGATCTTGAATATGCACCCAAACACTTGTCTTCAAATTACTATAACTTTGCTCCTCTTTGCTGAAGGATTGTTTTTTATTTAGTACTTTATTGTTCAGACTTATCAGTAAGTTTTCTTCACTCAGTAGATGGTTGATAATGTTCTCAGCAAAAGTCCACTGCCATCCCCACATTTGACTTTCACTTAGTAGCAGATCAAGTGCCCCTATGTCTGGTGACAGCATAAGTCACTTTCTTGACTTGTCTTTGTCCAAAGATAATTTATCTTACCTACTGTTTGTTGCGTTAATATAATTCTTGCATTAAAAAAAAAGAAATTAGTTTGGTCTAACCAAACTTTTGAGAAACCTTGTGTAGCCATGTTTCCCAGTGACAGTGTACACATCCATGCTTCTTTGTCAACAAGAAGAGTGACTGCATCAGACTACAAGGTTGGGCTAGTAACTGAAAACAGCCCTGGAACAAACTAAGCTAATCAGCCTTGCAGCACTATCAATGGACACTGGTTTACCCAGGGCTATTTTTGGGAGGGAATGGACAGGAATGGAGTTCTGGCTGGCTTCAGAGTAGGCCATGCCCACTACAGCCAGAACCTCTGTGTGCGTGGTTACAGAGGGAAGGCCTGGAGAGCGACCCTCACAGCGACTCCAAGGTGGGGGGGGCTGGTGGGGCCCTGGAAGGATCGGGGAGGCATTTAAATGCCTCCCTGTGCCTTCCCCAGCCTGTCCAAGGGCCGGCTTGCCTGGGTTCCCCGCAGCCACGGGGCACCCGGGCAAGCCAAAGTAAGGCAGTTTAAACGGCCTTCCCTCCAAGGGGGGGCTTGCCCAGGCTCCCCGCGGCTGCACTGTGGGAGGAGTCTGAGATATTGGGGACAGTAGAAGATTAGATGGAGTGATGGCTGGCTCAGAAGAAGCTACTTCATTTATTCATATGAGTGAGTGAGCATCGAGCCTAAGGTTACTTACAATCAACAGTGCAACATATGATGCTCTTAAATAAAGCACATGGTATGTTTGAAAAAGCCTTGCCCTTGTTCATTCCCAGTTACTTCACCATAGCAAGCTATTAATCTATACTGCCAACATGAGTAATTTTAAAAAAGAGGTTGTTGCAGATGTCTGGGTTAGGGCAGGAAGGTGTGGTACCTGTAATGGTAAATAAAGAAGTGTAGTCTTCAACTGCTACATTTGTCTTTATTGGGCTTGTCCCTTGCCACCCCTTCCCACTATGCTTAATGGCAGCCTTAAGTACCTAGCCCAGCAGCTGACCCAGCCCTTCCTCTCTGTCTCCCTGTCCTTCAGGCCATTGGTTCCTCTTAGCACTCAGCCCTAATGGGAATCCTTCCACTTCACAGATACTGCATGAATTAACCAGCCATGCCTGCCCATGGGTATCTGTGGCCATACTCAGCCTACTGGGTGTCCACCTGCTATGGTGTCAAGCCTCTCCCTTCAACCACTCACTTTGCTGCCCAGTTCCAGCCTCATGGCTCCCTGGTGAATTCCTGTTCCCTTGGGTTACCGCAGTGATATACCACTTTTTAATATTTACACTTCTAAGACAAAAGTTGCATCCCATATATAGTAGCAGGACTTCAGGACGAATTCACAGGGCACATCGTTGAGAGGAAACCATGGCCAATGTTTTTCTTTTGACTGCCAGACTTTTTGTGTGGTTGGGCCGTGACAATCTTGCTATGGGGATGCAAAGCTTCTCTTCCCTTCTTAACTAGCCAAGATACTGGTGTCAACATTGATTCGAATCACTTCAATAAAACTTGAGGGCCATCTTCCACTTCAGTATACTAGGTCTGATTGATGATTCACATTAGCGCTTGCTCATTGATCTTCTAGAGTACTCTTGAGACCTTTTACACTAATCAAATTGGATTTTAATATGAGAGTTGATGGTAAGCGTGAGTCATGCTGTAGCAGAGATACTTCCATATTAATCCTGGTTAATTAAATGTGAATAAAAAGTCTGTCCATTTCATCTTTGGCAGATGTGGAAGTCAACTATGGTAAGACAGCTGGTTATCATAATCAAAACTGCCCCTTGGGAAATGAGTAGTCAACCCTGCAGAAACTGTCACAAGTGGTTGAGTGGTGGTGGTGCAGTAAATGGGAAGAAGCGGAACTTGGAGCCATGCCTATAGTGAAAAGCAAGCTGCTTTAAAGGTAAAAGGTAAAGGTTCCCTTGCTCGAAAGCCAGTCGAATCCGACTCTAGGGTTGTGTTGCTCATCTCCGTTTCAAAGCCGAAGAGCCAGCGCTGTCCGAAGACATGTGGCCGGCATGGTCTAAACACCAAGGTGCACGGAACGCTGTTACCTTCCCACCGAAGTGGTACCTATTTATCTACTTGCAATTTCTTGCTTTCGAACTGCTAGGTTGGCAGGAGCTGGAACTAGAGATGGGAGCTGGTACCTATTGTGGTACCTACTTATTTACTTGCAATTTCTTGCTTTCGAACTGCTAGGTTGGCAGGAGCTGGAACTAGAGATGGGAGCTCACTCCGTCACGCGGCACCCGGGTCTCGAACTGCTGAACTACTGACCTTGCACAGCCTGCAGTTCAGCGTCTTAACCACTTGAGCTTTAGCATCACCATTTATACTGAACACTGTGCAGATCCACTGTACCTGTGTTTCTCAATATGTCAATTTAGCTATGTGATCAGTGAACTGGCTGCATCTTGTGTATCTCACTGGGGGGACGAGGAAACAACACATTTCTGTAGATGCCTCTTTCATTATTTATTGGGAGTATCTTCAGACTCCTCAGATTTTATGCTGCCAGTTTGGCAGTACATGTATCATGTGCTCTGCATATAAAATGCAGTATTCTAATCTGTTCCAGCTTAGTTTTATCAGTAATGTACCATTCTCTCTTCACTTCACACCATCACACCCATGAATGTGACCTTTTATTTATGAAACACTTATCTGGCAGTACACATCGTTTTTTTTAAAAGTTTCTGCCTATAAGTTTGTAATAATTTATATCCTGTGGGATACCTAGGCAAGATGAATTGGCCATGATGTTCTAGGTCCCATCCACTGCCCCAGATTTAAAGGCTTCTGAAACTTTTCTGTTTTTTTTTAACAGGCTTTAATGGAATGACCTTGCTACCCCATCTCCACCCCAAACAGACATATAAGACCCCCCCCCTTCTCCTCTTAATTTGTACTAAACAGAGTCCCTCCCACTTTGGAAGGGTTCCCTGATTGTTCATTGTCTTGTGACCCTCGGGCCCCTTAGATGGTGCCTGACTTTGGAGTGGGCCAGGCTGAGGGAGTGAGGGAAACCAGGCGCAGTGGACGGGGTGTGTCCTTCCGCGGTCCCCTCCTTGATGCAGCTGGGGGCTTCACCGCCGCCTCTGCTCCCAGCCCGCGTCTCTTCTCACTCTTGTCAATGAAGGAAGAAGAGCGTTAGCAGTTTTTGCCGCTCCGGAGCAATGACCGGGGCAGCTTTGCCTCCTCTTTTGGCCCTCACCGCGTTTTTACTGACCCGGTGCAGCACTCAAGTTCTGCAGCAGCAGCAGCAGCAGCAGCAATTGGCAGCGCCGCAGCAACGAGGTACAGTAAGATTTGGCGGCATGGAAGTAGTTCCTTAAAGCTGTTTCCCTCAGGGATTTCTTGTAGGGGGGGGAAAGTCCCCAAACAAACTTTGGTCGCTCCGTCTGTCCTTTGCGTCTTTTCTTTTTCTTCTCCCCCCGTTTGTTCTGAGGCTTCTCCCCCATGACAGAAACGAGAGAGAACGAGAGAGGCTGCAAACTTGGCAGCAAATTGGCAGCGAGGTTTTCCTGCCAGTGGTAGCTCTGAACTGCATCTCGCAGATGGACCGAAGAAGTACTTTGGAGAGCTGTGAAAGCCGAGATCCAAGTTTCTCTCTTCTAATGAAGCTGTTAAACAGGCTGTTGAGCTTCCACGCTGCGTTGGGAGAGGTGGCAGGCTCTTTCTGGCTTGCTTTTGCGAGGAAATTCGCTTTCTTCCCCTCTCCTGCCGTATGAAGCAGATACTCATTTTCAGCTTTTAAGTAGAGGGGGTCATAAGTCTCTTTGCACGTGTTAATGGTTATACATCCATCACTTCCCCCCCCCTATTTTAAATCAGAAACATGAATATCAGTCTTTCCATAGTTTGGAACCTCTAAATATGAACGGAGGACATGCTATTCTCCACTGAGAAGAAACATTCAAAACCCAAGTTCTATTATGCCAGAACTTGGACTGAGCAGTTGAGCAATCAGTTCCACATATTAATAGGCTGTCATTTACTAGTGCGTTACACTGTAATGTTCAGTTTAGGCTGCAGTTTATGATAGTATTTCCAACTGAACGTTACAATGAATGAACATTAAATGTTAAAGCAAATATGGGATACTAAAGCATGGTCACTAGACACCCAGTATTTTGTGTTTGTAACAGTATAATCCCATTGCAGGAATTGTTTGTGTGTTTATTTGTTGTTCATTCTGCAATGTGATCAACAGGAAAGGAGGAAATAATTTGAAGAGGATGACACAGATGTATGATTCATATTAATTAGAGATAACAATTGCTCTAAACTCATCTGAGACTCATGCAGCTTGATGCTATGAATAATGACTTGGAAGTCAGTCCTTTAGCTTGTTAGTTCTTAAACTGAAAATCCTGTGGTAAGAATAAATTCTGGCCATGTTAGAAAAAAATCTAATTAAACAATGCTAAAATAATAAAGATTGACCACAATTTTAATGCAGTAATCCAGAGGTAATAAAAAAAACTGCAGAGCATCTAAGGATTTTCCATCCTAGGGTTTGGGTGAGAGGGTTACACTTACTTCTCTAAGTTGTGATGCATTACCCACTTTAGAGTCTCAAGCAGTTGGCTTCTTAATGCTATTTTTAACTCTTAGGAAGATGAATGGCACTTCTCTAAGGGTAAAGTCCTATGCACACATGGTTGGGAATAAATCCCATTGAAAAGAGTAGGATTTACTTACTGCTAAGTAAATGTGCATTGGATTGAGCTGCTCATATCTTCATAAAGTTTAAAAAGACTTACAGTAAACTAAGGAGAGGAAAAAAAAACCTGACCCAGATAGGTTGTCTACATTTGGAAATAGACTCACTGGAAAATGGGGAACAGCCAGTCACATTTTAAAATAGCACATTTAAAATATATCATGGCGTACAGTCAATATAGTTGTCTCTTATGGTTAAATGAGGTAATACTCAACTATAGAAATACTTGTGGCATCATTTATTTAGAACAACTCAACCAATATCAAGAGGATACTACAGCCCACTGTACACTGTCAGATACTTTCTATACATTTTTGTTCTACTCTTCATCCAAGGGACTGTTATTTACATCACTCCATTTTGCTCCCCAAACAACCTAGTGAGGTAGAGTAAGATGAGAAAGAATAAATGCCCCAAGGTCACTCAGGGGCTTCCGGACTGACTGAGATTATGAACCTGCGTTTCCCCAGTCTGACAGTTCTAAGCACTCTTTACCACATTGGTCCTCAACTGTAATGAGCAGTGTCTTGCATTGCTCCTTGAGTCTTGTCATTCCACATAAACCTCCGTTCTCCTGTTACAGTGAAATGAGAAGAGGATTCTGAGCAGTGCTAGATGAACAGTCTCAATAATGAATCATAAGTAGGTTTCATATCTCTATGATACCTCTGTAAAAGTCTCTTTAGCCACAGCACTACTGAGGTCCTCTAAACTATGCTAAAATCTGGCAGTGTGCAGTTACTCTGTCCTTTCTCACTGGGGAGGTGTTAATCTTTACAAACAATACTATGTGATGAATGTTGTCATGTTGCTTTGAGATATTTTGGTGTATTACTGTGAAGCATGTCAAAAGTATTTTGGGTCACGATACAGTTAAGACTTCATACAAGATTTCCAGATGGCTATAAAATGTAGAGTTCCAGGACATCTTGCACCTCAGACTGTATGCTAGTCTGTAATTCTGCTTTTTAAATTGTTTGGAGACTTTTGTGGTCAGAAACCTGGAGTTAATTTAATATTTAGCTTTTTGCCTCATATGTTACTTATTCTTCTGTTGACTGAAGTGAACCCCCTCCCCCTTGAATACATCAGGTTTCCTAAGAAAAGCAGTGTTTAAGAGCATTGTATTTTATAGCTCAGAATGTATTATAGCTCAGGAAGACATACATAAAAGATGTATAGTAGCTCTTTAAAAGCAAGCCAGCACAGATTTCTGCCTCCTCCAGAATACTAGAAAGACTTTCTGTGGGAGTGGAGAAAATACTTCAAGCAATTCTATGGACTGATTAAAAGACCATTCCCAACGTTTAAAAGAATTGTAACGTTTATGGCCAAGTTATAGCAAGACATGAATTTAAGTTTTGGATTCTGCCTCTTGAAGATTTCAAAAATATTTAGAGTCAGTTTGAAAGTTAAATAATGATTTGGAGGTCAGTACTTGACTCACAGTTTTGGTATGTGATATCAAAATCTATGTGGGTATTTTACTAGGAGAGTTGGTAGTCATATAGCAGGCATTGTTTTTTCTGTAAATGTAACACAACTTGGTGTCAGACTATAGGCAATATGAGAGTTCCTCAATTGCTTCCCAACACAACATTATGAGGCCACATCCCTACAGGCTGAATTGTCTAGTTTCATAGTTCAAAGGGACAAATCACTGTTTCCTAGCTTAAGAAACAATAATCTTCCTCTTCAGCCCCAGAAACTTGGAAATCAAGTCTTATGGAGGAACAGCCCTATAGGACTGTGGTGGCAAGCTTTTGACCAACAGTAAACTCCAATGGGCTGCATTTTCAAGTTTAGGGATTTAATCTCTTTCTTAAAATGGAAACCAGAATTGTGACTTCTTAAAACTCAAAGCTGGGAAAAGACCCTATAGAGAAATTCAGCTCTTTAATGGAGAGGTAGATAAAATGGCTTAATCTTGGTTGGATTGCCTCCACTTCTTTGAAGGAAAAAAATTAAAGCAAAACATTAACACATTAAAATATTTCAGACATAAAACACATTTAAAATATAAATATGTAAAATATTGAAAACAAATAAAATATAACAAAAACACACAAACACATACAAAATACGTAAACATATAAAATCACACAAACAGGGAGGAGATGTTGGGGGCACCTGAAGCTGGGCCTCCAAAGTTGGCCTCAGAGGTCGGGTAGGTTCATATGGGAGTAGGTGGTTCTTCAGGTATGCTGGCTGAAAGCCATATAGGGTTTTAAACAGCAATTACCAGACATTGGATTAGGCCTGGAAGCAAATTGGGAACCAGTGTAGATGGAACAAGAGTGGAGTGATATGGCCCCTATGACCTACTCCAGTTGGTGTTCTGGCCACAGCATTTTGCACCAACTGTTACTTCCAGACAGTCTTCAAGGGCAGCCCCACACAGAGCTCATTGCAGTGATCTAATCTAGATTTTATCAGGGCATCAACCACAGTGGCAAGATCTTTCCTGCCCAGGAAGGGCTGCAGCTGGCTCAGCAGACCTTGGAATCCCTGAAGTTGTCCAGCTACCACTTGTTCAGTCATTTTACTCAAGGATGGTACATTTGAGACTGGGTGGTAGTTATTCAGCTTTCCTGGGTCCAGAGTAAATTCATTTAGGAGTGTTGGACTATGGCTATAGAGAACCAAGTTCACATGTATGAACTGCTATGGAACTATCTTGGCGGTCACTATCTGTGTTGTATAATGTAATGTGAACTGCTCAGAGCCCTTAGGGGTTGAGCGGTATACAAATGGAATGTAATAAATAAATAAATAATAAATATCTTAGCCTAGCCTACGTCAGAAGGTATTGTGAGGGTAAAATGAGGGGAGGACAGGACTGGTACCCTGAGCTCCTCTGAGAATGGGTGGAATGGAAATCAAACAGGTGCTAGGGCTTTTTGTAATGGGGACTGGGAATAATATTGGAATGATGACAACATATAGATTAATATCTTGGTTTAAAAAATCTCTGTGATTAGTGATGTTTAGGGATGCCAGCCTCCAGGTGGGACCTGGGGATCCCCTGGAATTACAGCTCATCTCCAGACTACAGAGATAACTTCCCATGGAGAAAAAGGATACTTTGGAGAGTGAACTGTATGGCATTGTATCTCACTGAAGTCCCTGTCCTCCCCTGACTCCATTCCCAGCCTGGATCTAGCACCCATCCCCCGCCAGTGGCCATGGGGGTCCTGGCCAACATGGACACATTATGGAAATGAGCAAACACGGACACATTTATCGGAGTAGCATGATAGTTAATGTCAGTTACAGTTTTAAAATAACAATTCAAAATGATTTCCATCTCTGAAAAATGTCTGATATTGATTATGGTCTGAACAGTGTGATGAGTTGACCATGTACAGCTGCTCTGTAATAGTGTACCCCCTGTTCTTTTCTAGACTGTTTTGTTGTTCTTTAAATACACATACAGTGGACGTTTGTGAGAAATGTAATTCTTATTTTGTACGCTTCATGGTATTTAACCTGTTGCTCCTGCTTCCTGTTTTCGATTCCATTACATAGAAACATTGTATATCAAAGTGACAATTTGTGTGTTTGGCAATAT